GCACAATCCATACGGTGAAGCATGGTGGTGGCAGCATCATGCTGTGGGGATGTTTTTCAGAGGCAGGAACTGGAAGACTAGTCAGGATCGAGGGAAAGATTAACGGAGCAAAGTACAGAGATCCTTGATGAAAACCTGCATTGGAGTCAACGGGCCAGCATCCCTGTGGAATGCTTTCGACACCCTGTAGAGTCCATGCGAACGAATTGAGGCTGTTCTGAGGGCAAAGGGGAGGTTGTACACTCAGTGTATACTTAGGAAAAGTAAAATAACTTTTGATACACCTTGATTATAGTATCTGTCTAAACTTTCTAAAAGAAGAGAGCTTTTCAGTTTGGCAGAACTTGCCAGTGCCAATATAGGCTAGCTTCTTCGACCACCCAGAATATCACATTAATGTATGTACTCTGTCAAGTGTAGACTAGGAAATGAATAAACAAACAGCTTTTGGCATTCTGAGCACAGCCCGATTTCAGCAGTAATTCCTCAGGTAGTATTCTGGTTTTACAGGGAAAATAAATAATGATGATTGACTAGAGCCTCAGCATCACTGCAAGATAATTAATCTATGGGGGGCTGATCATGCTTCAGACTTTTGTTTTTTAAAGAACAAATTCATATCTATTCTTTGGCATGTCGATAACACAATAATATTATGCCATTTAGCAGACGCTTTTTTATCCAAAGCGACTTACAGTCATGTGTGCATACATTTTTACGTATGGGTGGTCCCGGGGATCAAACCCACTACCCTGGCGTTACAAGCGCCATGCTCTACCAATTGAGCTACAGGGGACCACAGGATACAATACAATGCAGGATACAGGATTGAAGCTCCTGCCTGTCATATTGCAGGTAATGTTTTCAGGTCAGATGAAAGACATTCAGATTCAGTCACGTTCTGAAGACACATTCCACTTGGGATGACCTCTCTCCCATCATACTCAAGTAAAGTGTCATCAATACTCTTGTCATACTGTAGTCTAACCTATATATAATCAGTATCAGTGTGCGTGTTTGAAATCAACTACATTGCAATCAGACTGTGCATAATGACTGATGGACAAATCTCTGTGCATCCCAAATAGGCCTCAATACTCACCACCATGGCCCAGTTTTTCATAAATTATCTGGATTTTTCCTATCGGAATAGGATTAAATGCATAGAAATAGAATGAATAAAACGGACAAATAATTGACTTGAATGTGGACTCCTGATTTTTTTCTATGCATTTAATCCTATCCGATAGCCGAAATCCAGATAGATAACATCTTAAAAAACTGGGACCAGGTGATCAAGATGAGCTCACCTTGCTCAAAAAGATGCCTGAATGTACAGTACGATGACTCTCTGCAATGGAATCACAACTAGTTAAAAAGGACCTAACCAAAAACATTCAATCATACATGGCAACGCACACAGACGCCAAATTGAAAAAGTATTTAATATGTAAATTAGAACTATATGTTTAACATAATGAGGTCAACAGGTATATTTTTCTTTGTTCATTCATCCTCAAACATACACTGAGTGTACAAAACATTAGGAACACCTGCTCTTTCCATGGCATAGACTGACCGGGGGAAAGCTATAATACCTTATTGATTTTACTTGTTAAATCCACTTCAATCAGTGTAGATGAAGGGGAGGAGACAGGTTAAAGAAGGATGTTTAAGCCTTGAGACAATTGAGACATGGATTGTGTATGTGTGCCATTCAGAGGGTGAATGGGCAACACAAACGATTTCAGTGCCTTTGTAAGGGGTATGGTATTAGGTGCCAGGCACACCGGTTTGAGTGTCAAGAACTGCAACACTGCTGGGTTTTTCACGCTCAACAGTTTCCCGTGTTCTATCAAGAATGGCCCACCACCCAAAGGACATCCAGCTAACTTGACACAACTGTGGGAAGCATCAGAGTCAACATGGGCCAGCATCCCGGTGGAACGCTTGACACCTTGTAGAGTCCATGGCCCGATGAATTGAGGCTGTTCTGAGGGCAAAAGGGGGTGCAACTCAATATTAGGACGTTGTTCCTAATGTTTTGTACACTCCGTGTATATTAGAAGATTCTCCATTAATTTAACTCAAGAGAATTCTCAAGAATATTGATGCAGGAAGGCAAACATATAAGACGAAAATGTCCAACGGAAATATATATTAGCTTTATAACATATGATTCAATTACAGCTTTTTTCCACAAACATGCGACAAGCACTTAAGTCGTACTCCCTCTCCTCAGTGGGGTGAGCAGATGGGAGAATCCCTCTATATAGAACGTCATGGTGTAGATAGGGACAAATCATAATCAAAGTAGAACACTATGTCCAAGTATGTCATAACATGTTATAGGCCTGCATATACACTGAACAAAAATATAAACACAACACGCAACAATTTCAAAGATTTTACTGAGTTACAGTTCATAGAAGGAAATCAGTCAATTTAAATGAATTCATTAGGCCCTAATCTATGGAGATCAGGACTGGGCAGGGGTGCAACCATGGGTGGGCCTGGGAGGAGATAGGCCCACCCACTTGGGAGACAGGTCTACCCACTAGGTAGCCAGGCACAGCCAATCAGAATGAGTTTTACCCCACAAAAGGGCTTTATTACAGACAGAAATACTCCTCGACACCGCCCCTCCCCCTCCTCAGACGATGCCGCAGGTAAAGAAGCCGGATGTGGAGGTCCTGGGCTGGCGTGGTCTGCGGTTGTGAGGTAGGTTGGATGTCCTGCCCAATTCTCTAAAACAACATTGGAGGTGGCTTATGGCAACAGCTCTGGTGGACATTCCTGCTGTCAGCATGCCAATTGCACGCTCCCTCAAAACTTGAGACATCTGTGGCATTGTGTTGGGTGACAAAACTGCACATTTTAGAGTGCTATTTTGTCCCCAGCACAATGTGCACCTGTATAATGGTCATGCTGTTTAATCAGCTTCTTGACATGCCACATCTGTCAGGTGGATGGGCTATCTTGGCAAAGGAGAAATGCTCACTAACCGGGGTGTAAACAAATTTGTGCACAAATTTGAGAGAAATAAGCTTTTTGTGCATATGGAATATTTCTGGGATTTTTAATTTCAGCTCATGAAAAATGGAACCAACACTTTACATGTTGCGTTTATATTTTTGTTCAGTATAGATCACATTAAAGAAGATACACTACCTCCCCAACCACAAGACTTTAGGTACAGAAATAACCTGCAATCAATGACTTTACTGTGGCATGTTTGCCGCTGCAAGGAAAGGAACATTAGAACTGAAGCAACTTTTCATGGCCATCCTTAATACTGGAACACAGCGGCTACTGCTTTCCAGCTGTCCACGTCTACAGACACCATTCCAATTTTCAAACATCATACAAATGAAATCAAGTCTCGGGACCGTTTCAAAAACAATACAAAAAATGCAAATCTATAGGGAGTCTTTAATCAGGAAAATGTTACAGGGGAAATATTCCAATGACTACATTTCAATTATTTTTCTGAGGCAACCCAGTTTCAGTCATGTGCAATAGAAATGTCTACATCCCATTCTTCACATTTAAAACCAAATCATTTAAAAGGTCCAAATGCAGTCGTTTGTACCTCATATCAAATCATTTCTGGGTAACAATTAAGTACCTTACTGTGATTGATTTCAATTTAAAATTGTCAAAAAGAAACAAAAATTGCTTCTTAGCAGAGCAATTTCAAGCAAAATTTTAGCTAGGACTGTCAGTGAGTGGTCTGGGTGAGGGGGTCTTTTCAAACAGCTCTTACACTAAAAGGGCATCATCATTTTCACAATTTCACAGTATTATTCCAACCCCAGTGTGGAAATGTCTAGAAAATACAGGAAAATCATGTTTGACTGCACTGGGCCTTTAAGGATTCATACTGATCAAATCAAAACAGTAGGGCAGATTTTCTTTTTGAAGTGCTTTCAGACAAGAGGGGGCTACTTATAACTATGTATAACACATCCAAATGTGAGCCCCTGAAATCCACAATGTCAATAAACTGGATAAGCGGCAGTGTTCCTTAGCCCCTCACATTTTCAACGTGAAGAGCAAATCTCATCTTCCCTATCCCTTCTCAGGGAACCCTACTGTGTTAGGCGGCATTGTTATAGTTGTGGCAGGTTTCCCTGCTGGTACTGCTCTGATAAGCAACATGAAGACGGAGGGGAAAACATGCCAGAGAGACAACAGACGTCTCAACTTTGAGATGAAGGGGTCAACTGTTGTCAGGCCACGCATACAGCACATTTGCACGCATACACACACTCTTTCAGCCAGGCTTTCGAACAAACCCACTTCTACAGTTTTGTCTTGGCTTCCCAAACAAAACAAACAACAAAAAATACCTATAAGAGATATTCTACAATGTATTCTCAACGGAGCATTACATGAAATCAAATATACATATTAATTTGTATTAATTAAAGTAGGTGCAAGACTTAACATGGGACACAGACGAGGGACAGGGCTCTGTTTAGTTATACTGGATACTCAGCACATGCATTAAGAGACTGTTGAATCTTCCAACATTTTAACAACCAAACAAGTAAACCGAAAATGGAGGGAAAGAAACACCAGACCAGTTTTGTGAACTGATATAAATGATTGCCATTTGCAATATATCCGCTTTTAACCGTAACGGAACCCCAATGTCAATGTTATGACTTACAATATATGACAGACAGTATATACTAATTTACAGTCTGTTAATAGTTTCTTTTTTGTGTTTAAAAGTCTCAGGCTCATTTCACAGTGAGTGATGGAGAGAAGAATCCCTCCTTCTGTTCAGCCAACACAGCATGTGATGTGATGTGTGGGGAGCAGAGAGCAGAGTCCATGTTGTCCTGTAACTGAGCCAGCCCACCTCCAGATGCTCCTGTATGTCTGCCAGAGCCTTGGAAAGGCCAGAGGATCTCCTCAGAGGTGAGCCAGCACAGTCACACCCTCCTAGCCAGGGACTTCTTTCTCCTCAGATCGATATGGCTCTATCTGGCTCATTTCAGCAAGGACTCCTGGAAGACACAAGACAACACATAAAGATATCAACAAGTATCAACTACAGTGATATGTCTTCTCTAATTTGAAGTGCAACAGAGAACCTGATTAATATAAACATCTTGTACCACGTCGTGTGGAAAGTATTTTTGTAAGTCAGAATATTGTGTAAAGGATTATTTAAAAATGAGTAGCAACTTGGCATAAACATAGGCTGAGACTGGACCCTGTTTGAAAGTAACATTACCTGGGTCTCTTTAGGCCCCTGGCTGGAGAGGTCCTCTGTTTTCACCTCCACGGGAGCTGCAGTGTTGGCCATCTGTAGGCTCCGGGTCACCGGCCCACCAGCTCGCTCCCTCGCTCTCAGAGAGAACCGTTCCCCTTCTTTCTTTGGCGGCACCTGAGACTGCTTCTGTGGGGGCACTTTCACCTCCGCTACCTTCTTGGGCGGCATTTCCTTGCCCATGCGTTGCTTTGTCTGGGTTGCCTGCAGTGGTGCAGAGTCACTGGGAGTCTCGGAGGGCAACGGGGTGGGGGGTAACGATTGAACTTTTCCTTTTTTCCTTTTCATGCTGAGAGAAACTGTGGCAGCTGGGAAAGAGGCTGGCCTTTTGGTACGCACCTGCGTGGCAGCCGTCTTTCCTTTACCTGGCGGTGGTGGGGCCTCAGCCTCCGCAGAGCCGGGTCCAGAGGTGCGAGCGCGTGTTTTGCCCAGGGTTTTGGGCACCGGCTCAGCCAGCTCTGGCTGCTGGATCTCAGAGTCTGTGGTTCTCCTTCGAAGGCTCATGTTTTTGTCTACAGCTGGTGTTGCCTCTGCTGCTGCTGCTCCCTTTTTGGCCTTTTTAGAGATAGGTTTCATGGGACAGCTGACTGCTATATGTTTACTGAGGCTGGCAGGGTAAGTGAACTCCCGGCTGCAGTGCGGGCATACATGGACCTGCTCCTGCGGCTCCTCCTCTTTAACCTGGCTTGGGGCCTTCTTAGCAGTAGCAGCAGTCTTATTCCTCTGAGTGATGGCCTTCTGGACCAGCTGGTTCTTCTTCTTACTGAGGGAACTCATCTTGGTTTTGCCAGGTGGCTCTTGGTTGAAGTTGAGCCTCTTGGGTTGGCCCATTCTGCGGAAGGCATTCTGCCCTGTGTTGGCAGCAGATGCAGGTGACAGAGCTCCGTTCTGGGGCTTCACTATCTGTCTAAGAGGGATGGGGTTCTTCTTGGGAGTGTACCGCCTCTTATCACTGGCGTTGGCACAGGCTAGTATGTGCTTGTGCAGCTCGGGCATGTTATCAAAGCTCTTGCCACACTTGGTGCAGCGGATGGCAGTGCTGAATGTCTGTGGGATGTTGTGGGTAGTGAAGTTGGTGGCCGAGGCCATAGAGTCTGCAGCCGTGCGGTTGTGGTATGGGAAGGGGGGTGGCTTGAAACTGGGGTAGTGTTGATTAATGCCCAGGCGTACATCTGGGCCTTTAGGCTTGCCTCCCTCAGAGGCCATGATCTTTATAGTAGTGTAGAGCTCTTCAGTCTGGTCCTCTAGTCCAGCTTCCTCATGCTTCCCGTTAATATCAGGCTTTTCATCTTTCTTCACATCAGAGACCCCCTGAAAGGAGGCAGCTTCAGCAGAGGACTCAGGTGCTGTGGTTGAGGAGGGGTTACTCTCCTCTTTGGCCCTGGCTGGGTCTGTGTAGTTCTGTGGCCTCAGCTTGCCGCTCTCCACCGCTGTGTGTGTGCACGGCTGGCTGGGATGCAGGTCCTTGTGGTGCTGCTGGAGGTTGCAGAGGAAGGCAAACTCCTTGGAGCAGACGGAGCAGACAAAGATGCGTCCCACGCCGTGGAGGGCCGTGCGGTGCTCCAGCAAGGCCGGGGCGTTCCCAAACAGCTGCACACAGAACTCACACCTGTAGGGCCACTCAGCAGCATGCTCCAGGATGTGCCGACTGAGCTCTTTGATGGAGCGGAAGGGATCCTCACACACGTTACACACAAAGCTCTTACTGAAGGGGTCTGGCTCCAATCCCTCCTCCTCCACCCTCTCCTCCACCTCCTCTTCCTCAGAGGGCTTTTCAGCAGCAGCAGATTGAGGTGAAGACCCTGTGCCACCAGGAGGAAGGCCTAAGTCAGCCAGCTGATCCATGTGCTGGGGCTCCTCTTTAATCACAGTGCTAGAGAGTGACGCTGGGGAGACCACTGACGGAGCTGGGCTATCTGATATGCCAACAGGAGAGGTCAATGAGGCAGAGAGGGAGGATTCTGTTACGGATGATAAAACAGGGAGTTCAGAGCATTGGGATTTCTCCTGTCCCTCAGTAATAATCGGTTCCAGGTCTTGGTTAATTTGGACATCTACCGAACTGTGGTTCTCACTCCTACCAGGTTTAGATTGTGCTGAGGACAGACTCACAGGGACAGCATCAGATAATGAGGGGGACTCTGTAGAGGGGGTTGATATAGCTTCCCCAATAACGGGATCTGTATTGTGGGTGGGGTCTATTGGCTTAGTGACATGTTTCTCATCTCCATAACTTACTGCAGCTAACATTGTCTCTGCTGTGGTAGAGTTCGATAAGCAAACTGGCTCGTCCTCACCATGGTCAATGGATCTGGGGGACATTTTAGGGGAGAGGACAGGGAGAAAGCTAGAAGTGGGGCAGTCTGGTGAGGGCATGGAGGGTAGGACAGGGGGAGGTGGCGTTGGAGAGGTCAGGCTGGAGACGCAGGGGGAGGAGGGATTCATAGTGACGGGGGTTAGAGAGGGGGGAGAGGGATCGGCTGATTCAAAGGGCATATTGGAAGAGGGACTGTGAGAAGCGGTGCCTGTACCACTGCCTGCAGTATACTGAGAATCTGGGCTTCCCAGGGCACAAGAGTCCTCCTCTCCTGCTGGGTTTAAGCCAGCGTACTCGTTCATCAACACCTTCTCTAGCATGCTGGTGTTGGGCTTCTTCTTCTTGGTGGGGGGCTGTGTCGGAGCTGGACTTCCCTTGGACTCTGGCTCCGCTGTACTCTTCCGACTCATGCTTAAATCCAGCACTTCCTCCCCGGGCATCTTGTTGAAGCCGTCACTCAATTTACTGATGCCGCTGGAAAGGTCCAAGGGCTGCTGATTACATGAGTTCCCTCCGCTCCGAGAGGCAGACCAGCTGCACCCGTCCTTCCCGCTGGGACTCACGGTGTCCCTCTCCTCCTTGCTGGACAGACTCCAGACAGGGGACATGCCCAGGCTCTCCAGATTTGGCACCTTGAGGGTGTACGACGAGACCCCCGCCTCGCTCTTACAGCAGTCTGCTTTCAGCGCAGGGCTGAGCTGTGGAGATGAGGGAGGGGAAGCCGTTCTTCTCTTAAACCTGCCTAAGGCTGCAGGCAGGGACGCAACGGAGAGAGGGGGAGCTAATCTGTGGCTGTCTGCTAAAAGGGCGATGGTGGGTTTCTGACCGTCTGTCTGGGTCTGGAGGAGCTGTTTGAGTTTAGGAGACAGATAGATTGTTTTCTCCTTTTGAAATGCTAATGAGTCTGAGGACTGAGGGAAGAGACTTTCCACCAACAAGGCGGATGAGGAAGATGTGGAGGAGGAAGAGGAGGCAGAGGAGGACCCAGTTTCAGACTCCATTTTAAGACTGGGCATGAGCGGGGGTGTCGACGTTCTCCTTTTCGTCATGGGCTGGCCGAGGTTGGAGACCTGCTTTACAGCACAGGTCCTGGTGTCCACTTTGAAAGTCTGACTGATCTGATTGGGGCTGATGACCACTGCATCGAGACCAAACAGTGCTGCAGAACTGGAGTCCACTTCGATCACTTCACAGCCGCTGACTGAACTAGTGGACAGGATCTTGCCGTCGATGTACAGGCTGAGATTCTCTGAGATGTTATTGGATATGTCGACCATGTACTCCTCTCGGTCCCCCTCATCCTCAGTGTCTGCACTGGGCACATAGACAGGGGGTGGGCTGGCACTGGGAGACTGTTCAGGCAGACGCTGCTGCTGCTGTTGAGATGGGCTCTCCTGCAGCAGCATGCCTTTCCTGCGCACACCCTTGGGCAGCAAGTGGCGCTCGTGAATTCTGCGCTGGTGTCTGCGCATGTTGGTGTGAGTGCCAAAAGCCTTATTACAGTACTTGCAAGGATGAAGCTCTTTTGTCTCACCATTCTCATCCACGATAAAGGGCCGGTCACTCTCAGCCGCAGGGTCCTTCCTCACAACCTGAGGGGTTTGCATAAGTCCTCCAGGGACTGGGGACCCCATGACAACATAGTGGCCAGAGACAGTGCCACAGTCTGGGCTGGAACAGTCAGCCTGCCCCAGAGGACTGAGTAAAGTAGCAGTCCCAGCCAGTGAGCCAGACCTTTGACCTTTGTTCTTTGGCCCGTTCTCATGCCTACGCTCGTGCCGCCGCCGTCCCACCTGCGAGCCAAAGGACTTGCCACAGTAGCGGCATTTGAATGTGTGTGTTTGCTGGTTTGCAGTGGCATGGATGTGTGTGTGGCGCTCCAGGCCCTGTTTGGTGGAGAAATGGCGCTCGCAGTGCTGGCAGGGATGGGACTCCTCTCCGTCACCTTCAAGGTCAGGGTCGAGGTATGGGTCAGCCTCTGGTTCAGGCCTTGGTAGGGATGAGGCAGTCTGAAGGTTCCCAGGCCCCACCTCACCTGGGCTGCTATGGCTTAGTGGCAGATCAGGCTGCTCACTCCTCTCCTCCAACTCAGCTTCAGTAGCAGACTGAGCACTCTGCGGTGTCAGCAACGGCTGCAGATCCCTTGGGTCTTCCTCTTCATCACCCTCCTCCTCATCTTCCTCTCTCATTGCTGCTGAGATGAACTGGGCTTGAGAGAGGCCGTTACTCCCCATGGGGGAACTCTCCCGAGTCACATGTGAAGGCCCTGGAGATTGGGAGGGTCTCTCGTCCTCCTCATTTGGACCTAAAACAGCAGAGCAACAGAGTATAAAAAGTTACATTTAATTTCAAAGTAACAAAATATTCTGGGAAAACCTAGCCGAAATTGTTGAAATACATTAATAACATAACTAGCTACACCCGAACAGACTTCCCAAATATCCATTATAAATGGGGCAACTTACCTTCCTCTGTATCCCACATCTCTGTGACAATAGGTTTGGTTCCGCCTGTTTGCTTGGGCCCACGGAATCCACCCAAACTAGCCTGTCTGGCTCTCTTCAACAGTTTTCTTCTGGCTAAACACACATCAACCAACAAACATTAGCCAAACTCAAATAAACCATTTCACACCAAAGCAATACTGGTAAGATGTGGAATTTAGTTTCTTTAAAATGTTGACATTGGACTACTTCTACATAAGTAAAAGGAAAACAGATTTTCAGATGAGTGAACATCTAGTGGGGGAAGTGTACTAATTCACTTTCACACCTCAACCCACAACTGTGCTGTGTATTGGTTGGCACTTAAACTACATGGAATTACAAACTCATAATATGATATTTGTCTAACAGAAAGCAAAGCGATATACTGTATGACTGCTGAACAGGATCTTAAACAATGTAGGCCAAGTACCACGTGTGCTTATGTCATCAATTGTCTTTCGATATTACCATACGAATGTTATCTTTTTCTTCATCTAAACAGCTGCAGGTTTAGTAGTCAGGCTAACTTCCAATTTAGTCAAATACAACTTCTGGCCAAAATCACTTTTCACAGCCTTGATGCCTTCATGCAGAATTTTACAAGTCATACTAAACACTAGGCTACATAATGAACAAACTGCCATGTGAAGAGATATGGATATTTTTGGAATGGCTGATCAATGTAGTGGTTATGTGCCTAGGCAGGAGACCATTTTGAGTTTTGATCTCAGCCAGCCTCAAGAGGCTGGGCTAGCACCCAATCATCACTGGAGTTGCTTTGACAACAAGGTCATCTGGCCTGGCCTACAAAGCCTGATTCATGCCACAAAAACACATGTTGCAGCTCAGTCACCTGACCAACATGGTCAAAGGCATTCTGCTCAATCTGTGTATAGATAGTCCCCACTTATTATTGTAAATTTGATGCAGATATGTATATGATTTTATCGAAGAGGGATTGCAGATAAATGACAAGTAGGCTCTCTCAACATTAGACAATTCTGAATGTTGAGACTTCTAACACAACTCACCGAGTACTCACACGGCAATGTTCTTAGCCCCGGGCTATCCTTTGTCCCTGGCTAAGCCTGTGTTCACACAAGCAGAGTTGCCTGAAACCAACTGTCACTTTTCTGGAGTAGAATATTCAAATTAGGAGACAATGGAACACTGATTGGCTAGCCCTGAAAAGTCGGTGCCAACCCTGCTCCGGAGCAGGGCCAGCTAGCCCACTTCCAAATGTGCAAGTGTGAAAACCCGCTTAAGCCCAAATCAAACGAAATGTGTTTTTTTATGCGCATGAAAACGCTGGAATTAGAATGCACGGTATTGAATGGCAGAAAACAGACGGTCCGCGAGCGTCAATGCCGTCATGCACTTCAAATTAGAAAGCAAGTATATATTTTTTTGCGTCTACGTGAAGCAATGCTGGTAAAGTGAGCAGATATATTGCCAGAAAATACTGTTTGTGCGTTGTTACGTCTGGAATTGTGACATGTATAGTTAGAAAGTGTATATTTAGTGTTGAAGTTTAGCTGCCTGTGCCAATAATACATATTTAAAAGCAATAACTTTATGCCTACCGTTGTTGATTTCAAGCACAGGCATATAGCCTAGGCAGGCTACGGCTGGGAAACTCGAACTCAGTTCAAGAGATAATATTGTTATATAGAAATAACGAGACTAGCTAAATTCTTTAACTGCGAGGGTGTATTAGCTACAACTCTCCTCATATTCGTGAGCCAACATAACAGGAGGCAGGTACGGTGGCTCCCGTATAACATATAAATTGAGTCAAAATGAACACAATAATTCACAAGGGCTACATAGCAAACATAAATATAACCGTTTTATGGATTCTCATGACAATTAAGTTGGCATAAACTACGTGAATTTACGCTCAACTCTCGCACGCAAATTGGCGTAGTCTCGCTGTGTGGTTTCAGCCTTGCCCCAGGCTAAAAACTCTCTTAGCCCTGGGCATTGGCGTGAACGTGACTATTAAGTCAATAAATCAGTGCAAATTCAAAACAGACCGGGGTTGCATATATAGGCCTACACCACAAACTTAAATCATATAGACATACAGTTTTTAACCAACATCGTTAAATGTTCATTCATATTGAAAGAAAAACACTTGGTCAATTTCATGGAGAAATAATTCAAATTCTATTGATTTCATTCTAGCAGCTAATTCAAAAAATAATTATGCAAAATGCAACTCGTTCTGAAGATTTTGTATTGTTGAGAAAGGAAGGGTGGGACTACAGAGCTTGTGCAACTGCATGCATCCAGGGCCTAGTCTGCAGCACAACATTACCTCAACTTTGCATTGACTTTGGCTGACTAGCTAGCTAGTAGCTACCGTCCCTAGGCCAAATTAAAATGGAGCACACACTTACCTGGGAAACATGAACAAAATATCAAATATATAAGAAACCTATACCGTTCAGCTAAATCGTGTTTGTTACTTCGGGGGAAAAAAGGGTGTTTCTTTTCAGGGCAGGCATATTCCAGACAAAATTGATAAACGTATCCAGGTAGTTGGTAGCTGTGGGTAGCTAACTAGATGTAGCTAAGGGTTTACAACACATGTATGACACATACATCGATACCTCGAGTAACCTACCCTCCCTTTATCACAACGGCACCTGTTTTGATCAGTTATTTGCTGAACACAAAAGCCAGCGCTTGCCATCTTCCCTGAACGGGTTGTCTGGCACGTCCGTGCTTGACCTAGCCTGTTAGCTCGTAAGCTAGCTAGCTACCTGAGCTGAATTGACAGCAGTGAAACAACCCGATCAGACTATGAAATCCCAAACCTGCAAGTCCTGTAACAGAACTAGCTAATTGGATATCTCGTAAATATAGGTAAGTAGCAAATGTAATCAACGGATCAAATAACGTGGCTCGCAAATAAATTGCAAGTCTGGAAAGGTCACATCCTGGAAAACGTCACGACGAGCCAGTCACCGAGTTAACGTTAGCTAGCTAACTTATTTATCCGACAAGCCAATGTTGACAGTGGCGTGCTGTCTGTGTTGTTACATAATAGCTACCAATTTAGCTGCAATCACCCTCCTTTATAAAAATTAACAGTAACATAAAACTACCTTTTTGAGATAGAATGTTTGGAAGGGAAAATGACTGCATCTAGTTAGTTACACCTCGCTGTACTGTTATCTAAGCTAGCTAGCTAGCATGCTATCAATAATTCAACTTCGAATGGGCGTAAATACCATTTCCTTCGACTTCTGCCACCCACTGCCAGCTATCGTATCGAAGAGTTTGGTAAATATGTCCTGCAAAATGTAAGATATACATTTGAATTTTAGGGTTGTACGCCTTACCTCGCTTTGCCCTGGGTGAATTTTTCTTGCTCAGACTGCTGGCTCTTTCTTCCTCTAATGCAGCTGTTATCTCAGGGTTGTCTTCCCAATTGTACCACACCAGCAACTCTTCCCCGGGCCCGATTGGCTATTATAAGGAAAGAGGAGAGGGGGAACAAATCAGAGACCGGTTTGCTGAGAGACAGGATGAAAGACTTGGGCTCTTGTTGTGCCTGTCAAGTCAAGAGTCAACAGGAATGTTAGGTCTTGACATTTCGGTAGCTGTAGAAGATGGCAAACTAACTATGTATTTTAACATTTTAAATGTAATTCCTTTTATAAATCGTTTATTACCCAAGTATACCAGAGACCACATAATACACATTTGAAATGTGCATGAATTATAAAAAGGGTTTACCACAATTGTAAACATAGCAAATTGGTTGTAATTCTCTCATTTGGCTTCAATGAGAATAACCCCCAAACTAGCCAGAAGATCCGACCCGCTTGCTTACATCTGCACTAGGGTCGGACAGCATTCCTGTGAAGATTAAGACACGGCGGAGCAGGCGTGAGATATGGCTTGAAAAATATACCTCAATCCAGGGATGAGAAATGCGTTGGACTCCAAATTGTCCCATTATCCCAACTGTTACACCGAAAAGATTGAACGCTAAATAGCCAGTACTCCTGCATTCACATGCCTAAATGGCAAACCATCACTCTGCTTTAGTACTCAAATGTTTAGAGAATAACATTTTACCAGTGAGACTTCATGTCTGAATTACCTGTAACACTTTGTAGTAAATGGCTCGGTTGATCTCCATTGGGAAAAGGTTCTGTTCTTGAGTGGAGCGTGCCCAGTTTACATACCGTAGCCAGTTCCCCTTCATGGGGTCTGTAGCATCCACACACATCCAGCCCCTGGCTGGAAAATACACCTACAGAGGACAGATTGGTTATCTGGATGATAATCTTTAAAATGTTATGAAAATGGATAACAGCATATATAATACAGAGGGTGTGCTGTGCCTGCAATGTGTACAACCTAGATGTCTGTGAAGATACTGTAGATCTTTGAGGCTATCACTCTATCCTCTGCTGCTCACCTCCCACATGTAAACATTGCTGGACACTTGGGACCTCTTTTTCTTCTCTCCTACAAATGGGCCGAACCTCTTGCCTTTAGGGATGAGCCTCGAGGCCCAGACACCTGGGGAAAAGAGTGGAGGAAAATCCGTCAGCAATCTCAAACCAAACCCTCACTGCCTACTAAATGTTGCCTAGGCAACTCCCTGCAATTGGTGGATAGCGATCAAAAATCAGATTCATCTTACAAATGCAGATTTTTTAAAAGTTGTACAGAATTGAACATGCACTTCAAAATTCACAATTAACCATGCACTATAGAGAAGCTTTCAGCCTCTAAAAATGTGTTAAGGTGTGCCGATTCTCTGAGGCATGCCAGAACAGGCTGGAGATGCTTCTTTTTCTTGAGTTGAAAGCCTTCATAATACACTCTGCTACCACTGCCAGATCTAGTTCTTCCTCTCCCTTGTTATCACTGGTCGTTACTATATGATCCTAAGTATCAGGAGCTACACTTGTCATACCACACCAGCGAACACCACAGTCAGAAACCACAGAGCCACTCACTGCATATAATAAGATGCACTGCTAGCGGAATTTTACCACCAACAAATGATCATTGATCACTTTAGTCCCATGTAGCTCAGTTGGTAGAGCATGGCGCTTGCAATGCCAGGGTTGTGGGTTCGTTTCCAACGGGGGGCCAGTATGAAGATGTATGCACTCACTAACTGTAAGTCGCTCTGGATAAGAGTGTCTGCTAAATGACAAATGTAAATGTAATCACTTATCTACAAAACTGAAAAGTGATGTGATGTTAGAACAAACCCAAAGCAGCTCATTTTCAACTCACCAATGCGACTTTGATCAACAGCAGAGCAGCTTAGTCTCATGCTATCGGGCAAGCCCTTCCACACATGATGCGGAATGTCAGCGAGCGTTTCCTTTGTCCCTCCAGGAACTGCCATGGTCACCTAGAATATAACACACAATTTCATATCTAAAGCAGACCACCACCCTGACCAAAACATAAAAACGCTCTCACACCAGGGGCACTGTAAAACTGGGCATAAATGTATTCGCTTCTTTTACCTGCTCATGTAAGACTCCACAATGGACTCTGGGTCTGGCACTTTGGGCAGGCTGTGCTCACATCGGATCTAAAGGGTAGGCAGCACAGGAGACGTATAATTGTGGTCTCAGGATAATAGTCAATGCTATTGTAGGATAATAGCATTGAGGCAGACTGCCGATGCCACATATAGCCACATGATAGTGACTCTGGCAGAGTCACTACTGATTATGAAGAGGATAGCTATCATTACTAGTACTCAACTATACTTAAGATGAACTACCCCTTTATTAACAACACAAAAGGTGAAATATGAGACATGCATATTTGTGGAATCAAGTTGTTCTTATTACAACAAGCTTGAGAAGCACAGGTAGAAATGTCCTTTTGTAAGAAGTTGTATTTTTTACTCATGATAAATTACTGTATTAGGAAAGGAGTTGGGATTCTAAGGCAAACTGTCCTGGCTGTCACTGGTTCAAAATATCACACTCCTTTAAGTAGTTGACAAACTCCGACACAAAGCAGATTACATGCAGGCCAGGCACATTTTCTTAAAGCTTGCAGACATGCCAGCATGCATATATTTGAGATTGTAATATGAATTCAGTGTAATAATTCATTATTGTAGTAGACTTTTCCATAGCCTGAAATACAGTGATGTGATCATCTCAATAAGTTAGGCCTACCTCAGGAAAAAAAAAAGTGCAAGAAAATGTATTCAGTAGGCTATATGCTGCACTCATGTTGAATATAGGGTAGGGTAGGCTATAAGGTCTTTTAAAAGCATTCAAATGATGATAATTTCAACATTTGACAGTTACAACAAAAAGAGACTACCCTACTACCTATTGGATAAACCATTATTTATCCAGAACTTTCCTACACTTTTCATAAATACACCAATTAGGCCTACACACGCACTAATATAAGGACGAAACATTTGGACAGGTGCTTAGAAAACACATATACAGTGCATTCGGAGAGTTTTCAGACCCCTTTACTTTTTCCACATTTTGTTATGTTACATTTTGTTAGCCTTATTTTAAAATTGATTAAATTGTCCCCCCCCCCCCCCTCCCCTCCCCTCCCCCTCAATCTACACACAACACCCCAAAGTTGTGTTTTGTAGTTTTTTTATTTATCATAAAAAAATAATTTAAAAAAACTCACATTTACATAACTATTCAGACCCTTTACTCAGTACTTTGTTGAAGAACCTTTGGCAGCAATTACAGCCTCAAGTCTTCTTGGGTATGACGCTACAAGCTTGTCACACCTGTATTTGGGGAGTTTCTCCCATTCTTCTCTGCAGATCATCTCAAGCCTTGTCAGGTTGGATGGGGAGCGTCGCTGCACAGCTCTTTTCAGATCTCTCCAGAGATGTTTGATCGAGTTCGAGTCTGGGCTCTGGCTGCGCCACTCAAGGACATTCAGAGACTTGTCCCGAAGCCATTACTGCGTTGTCTTGGCTGTGTGTTTAGGGTCGTTGTCCTGTTGGAAGGTGAACCTTCGCCCCAGTCTGAGGTCCTGAGCGCTCTGGAACAGGTTTTCATCAAGGATCTCTCTATACTTTGCTCCATTAATCTTTCCCTCAATTCTGACTAGTCTCCCAGTCCCTGCTGCTGAAAAACATCCCCACAGCATGATGGTGCCAGGTTTCCTCCAGCCGTGACGCTTGGCATTCAGGCCAGAGTTAAATCTTGGTTTCATCAGACCAGAGAATCTTGTTTCTCATGGTCTGAGAGTCCTTTAGGTACCTTTTGGCAAACTCCAAGCGGGCTGTCATGTGCGTTTTACTGAGGAGTGTCTTCTGTCTGACCAGTCTACCATAAAGGCCTGATTGGTGGAGTGCTGCAGAGATGGTTGTCCTTCTGGAAGGTTTTCCCAACTCCACAGAGGAACCCTGGAGGAGCTCTGTCAGAGTGACCATTGGGGTCTTGGTCACCTCCCTGACCAAGGCCCTTCTCCCCCAATTGCTCAGTTTGGCCGGGCAGCCAGCTCTAGGAAGAGTCTTGGTGGTTCCAAACTTTTTCCATTTAAGAATGATGGAGGCCAATGTATTCTTGGGGACCTTCAATGCTGCAGACATTTTTTTGTACCCTTCCCCAGATCTGTGCCTCGACACAACCCTGTCTCGGCGCTCTACAGTCAATTCCTTTGACCTCATGGCTTGGTTTTTACTCTGACATGCACTGTCAACTGTGGGACCTTATATAGACAGGTCATGTCTTATATAGACAGGTCCAAATCATGTCCAATCAATTGAATTTACCACAGGTGGACTCCAATCAAGTTGTAGAAACATCTGAAGGATGTTCAATGGAAACAGGATGCACCTGAGCTCAATTTCGTATCTCATAGCAAAGGGTCTGAATACTTATGTAAATAAGGTATTTCTGTTTTTATTTTTTTTAAACTAATTTGCAAACATTTCTAACACATTTACATTACATTTTAGTCATTTAGCAGACGCTCTTATCCAGAGCGACTTACAGTTAGCACATATTATTTTATCGAACCCACACAACACAAAATATGTTGCTAAAAATATTGCCTTTTAATAATCTATAATATATTAGAATGCTGCCTTTATTAGGCTATGGCCTAATTAGGCCTAGATTTACTAGTAATCTTACATATAATAACAAATAAATCATGTGCTTGGAGTGTTCTGAGATATCAAGCAAGTTTTACAAACTAATAGCTAGAGGGTATCACATATTTTCTTTCAGATTGTGAATCCAATGGCTTGACCATCATAGCCAAATTATTTGACAAAATGCATTTTATTGTTATCCTTGTACATCGACCATTCGCATGGTAGGCTATTCCAAACCAATGCAACCATCGACTGGGTGTCTCTGGTTTTCCAATGAAGCCACTTACATGCCAACCGGTTTGATTGGGATAACCGTCTTGACATATTTGTGCATTTACCTGTTTTAGTTTGATCAGCACTGTGATTTTTGTCTACCTGCTTTCAATCGGCTGAAGATGGAGGATGGAGGCTTGAGTAGAAAGCCTTTCCAATAAGCAACTAACTATTCGTTCGGATTGTGGAGTTGGGAGAGGCAGGCGGCTCGTGCAACTGTCGATAGGTCAACGCTCAATTCGGCTTTTTAAAGATTTTTGCAAGGACTCTGTGCAGAATGGACAACAGACACCTCTTGAAAAAAATAATGAATACTTGTTTTCAAACATGTATGCCCAAGTCACTCAGTAGCCTAACCTCAATTGTCAAATTGTTGACCAATGGTCTTTTCATGATAATGTCTCACATCATTATTAAATGGCATATTCCATGGCATTTAGATACAGTATTACAAGAAATTGATGTCCACTAATCAATCACATTTTTATTCGGCCCATGCCACATATAAATGATTAACTGTTATGTTATCATCAGGCAAATAACATTGATAGTTGTTGGTGTCTAAAAAATTTACACATACAGTGGGGAAAAAAAGTATTTAGTCAGCCACCAATTGTGCAAGTTCTCCCACTTAAAAAGATGAGAGGCCTGTAATTTTCATCATAGGTACACGTCAACTATGACAGACAAATTGAGGGAAAAAAATCCAGAAAATCACATTGTAGGATTTTTAATGAATTTATTTGCAAATTATGGTGGAAAATAAGTATTTGGTCACCTACAAACAAGCAAGATTTCTGGCTCTCACAGACTTGTAACTTCTTCTTTAAGAGGCTCCTCTGTCCTCCACTTGTTACCTGTATTAATGGCACCTGTTTGAACTTGTTATCAGTATAAAAGACACCTGTCCACAACCTCAAACAGTCACACTCCAAACTCCACTATGGCCAAGACCAAAGAGCTGTCAAAGGACACCAGAAACAAAATTGTAGACCTGCACCAGGCTGGGAAGACTGAATCTGCAATAGGTAAGCAGCTTGGTTTGAAGAAATCAACTGTGGGAGCAATTATTAGGAAATGGAAGACATACAAGACCACTGATAATCTCCCTCGATCTGGGGCTCCACGCAAGATCTCACCCCGTGGGGTCAAAATGATCACAAGAACGGTGAGCAAAAATCCCAGAACCCCACGGGGGGACCTAGTGAATGACCTGCAGAGAGCTGGGACCAAAGTAACAAAGCCTACCATCAGTAACACACTACGCCGCCAGGGACTCAAATCCTGCAGTGCAAGATGTGTCCCCCTGCTTAAGCCAGTACATGTCCAGGCCCGTCTGAAGTTTGCTAGAGTGCATTTGGATGATCCAGAAGAGGATTGGGAGAATGTCATATGGTCAGATGAAACCAAAATATAACGTTTTGGTAAAAACTCAACTCGTCGTGTTTGGAGGACAAAGAATGCTGAGTTGCATCCAAAGAACACCATACCTACTGTGAAGCATGGGGGTGGAAACATCATGCTTTTGGGCTGTTTTTCTGCAAAGGGACCAGGACGACTGATCCGTGTAAAGGAAAGAATGAATGGGGCCATGTATCGTGAGATTTTGAGTGAAAACCTCCTTCCATCAGCAAGGGCATTGAAGATGAAACGTGGCTGGGTCTTTCAGCATGACAATGATCCCAAACACACTGCCCGGGCAACGAAGGAGTGGCTTCGTAAGAAGCATTTCAAGGTCCTGGAGTGGCCTAGCCAGTCTCCAGATCTCAACCCCACAGAAAATCTTTGGAGGGAGTTGAAAGTCCGTGTTGCCCAGCGACAGCCCCAAAACATCACTGCTCTAGAGGAGATCTGCATGGAGGAATGGGCCAAAATACCAGCAACAGTGTGTGAAAACCTTGTGAAGACTTACAGAAAACGTTTGACCTGTGTCATTGCCAACAAAGGGTATATAACAAAGTATTGAGAAACTTTTGTTATTGACCAAATACTTATTTTCCACCATAATTTGCAAATAAATT